ATAATTTTATTTGGTTGTTTGCAGTACAGTAGAACTTCGATTTAAAGTGATTCAATTTAAGATTATTGATTTAAAGCGACACCCACAATTAAGGACAATGTTTTAATTTAGAGCGAATCTTTCCTATTTTGCGCGAGTCAATCTGGCGCATCATATTTTAAAATTCGCACCTAATGTTTCTCTGGGCACGCTACACTGTCCTAAGGGCAAAGCTGTACTGTACATGTACTCAAAATAATGTACTAAATGATTATTAAAATTTTTGTCTCGTGCAAACTATAGCATGTTTATATTCAAATTAATCACTGTCTTATAAGAATTCCAGCAATGTAAATTATATTCTCTCCGGTCTCTTCTGTGACATTTTATAAACAAAAAACAATAACTCAATCTAAAGGATATAAAAAAATAAATAAAAAAATAAATACTTCACTAGACCTTCGGTGCCAACTGTCAAACAGGTCACTGTCACCTCCCTCCTCCCCCCCCCCTTCCCAGCCAGGGTTGGGTAGTTTTAGGGTTTTTTCTTTTTACGGGCATTAGCCCACCCGGGCACAGGTAATTTTTAATGACCCACATCAAGGCCTGTGGGACGAAAATATAATAGAAATAAAATTAATAGAAATATATTAAATAAATAATGATAAAATAAAATAATAATAATAATAATAATAAAATTAATAACAAAATTTTAAAATAAATAACAATTATAATAAAAGAAAATAATAATAATATAAATTTATAATTTTCTTTAAGTACTGTAATTATAATAATAATACCCCTGCAATAATAAAGAGCCATAAATAAATACAAAAACAAAAAATAAAAATATCAATAGTGAGAAATGATATATGTATGTTGTGTTGTCAATATTAAGAGAAACAATTGAGTGTAAATGAGGCAGAAGGTCAGATCAGCAACCTGGGACTCGGTCACAATTTTTGTGATGCTTACAGTTTTTATTTTATATAATATCACAGACTAAAGTTAGGAGAATATAATTTGCATTGCTAGAATCCTTGCAAGGCAGCGAATAATTGAATATAAACGTCATATATTTTGTACAAGAGATAAATATTTTAGCCCCTTGTAATTAAATTAGTTAAAACTGCATTTTTTTATGTATAATGCGAACTATAGCATGTATATATTCAAATTAATCACTATCTTATAAGAATCTCAGCAATGTTAATTATATTCTCCCATGTCAGTTTAGTGACATTTCAGAAGAGAAAAACTTAGTCACTCTTAAGGAGAGATAAATAAATAAGCACTAGACCTTGGCATCAACTGTCAAACATATCACCTCACCTCTCCCCCCCCCCCTCCTCCCTCCCCCATCTTCCCAGCCAGTAAACAGACCATTTCACATCCCTTAATTTTAGATGTGTTGATTTATGAGTGTTTGTTTTAACATAATACTGTACTACAAAAAACAATGTTTTGTTTATTCTAGGAGATAGGCTGAAGTGCATCTGGGTAGACTGCCAGTCTTTTTAGTATTTTGTGTTTCTTGCCAAACTAAATTATTCCATTGAAACAACACTTGGGTTTAAAGCGACTTCTCTTGGAACTTATCTCGCGTTATATCGACGTTCTATTGTATTAAACTTGGTTCGCATGCTAAGAATGTTTAGCGTGATTATCAGTTTTGCTTTTCTTTTCCCTTGAAAGTTGTATTTTTATGTCCAATAATTATTATAACTGTTATAGGTATTTTAAACTTTTGTTTAAGAAACTTCCTTCTTTATTTAATACAGGATATTAACCGTTGATTCTCATATGCATTGGACATGTGAGTGTGAAGTTGTGGTTAATGGTAGCCAAGTAGGTGGTTTAGTCACATTTCAATATGTTGCAACGATAAGTAATTCTGTGCGCATGAAGTTGTCAGGTTTAACCCTAGTACTGTACAGTAATATCTCCTTTAGCCGGAATCCCTCAAACTCGGAAATCTCCTAAGCCAGAATTTTCCAAAAATTTCTGGTTTAAGGACAAATTTTCCGAGGTTGATAATCAAGAGAATTTTCTGAAAATGTCTTGAATAAAGATGAAAATTAAAGTTTTTTTTTGGGGGGCTGACCTGACTCAATGTCAGGTGGAGGTAGGGTGGGGGATTAGTGGTCTCATATTACTGACCTTCTGATGGAATGTCAGGTCACCCTTTCTTGGGTTAGGGATTAGTGGGTCTCATGACCTGAAGATGTCTTGAATAATGTAAACACGAAAGGTAAAGTGTTTTTAGGGAGATTGTGATAAGTATAAGTATAAATGAGCAAAGTTGTATCCCTTCAACATTGCATTACATAACATTTTAAAATATGGAATGAGAAAGCAGAAAGGTGTGGGTGATTAGAGAGATGGAGTGGAAAGGAGTGGTAACATGCACCAGTATTACCAAGCGATAAGCTCCTCAACAGCTGATCTTTTAATTCGCCTCCATTCAGTCACACAACAAGACCCTCACTGGATGCTTGTTGTCTTAATTCCCAGTGTGTGTGTGTTTTTTTTATTTGTTTTTTTTTTCGCTTGCCAAGCACATTGTAGGATTTGAAGAAGTTGAGAAGAGTTTGTTCAGGAGTCAGGTGGTGAGGAGACATTCCAAGACACGTAGACAGCACACGTATTAACAGCACTACTAAACCATTGTCTTATAACATTTTACATTATAATTTCTATTTTAAAATTAATTGATACATGATGGCTCAACTGGGCGACATTTGCACTTAGACAACTGATCAGTGAATAAACCAGGGCATTTGGAGACGCATTATACGCTAGTGATGTCACAAAGCTTTGAAACTACAACCACACTTTCTGAGCAACCACAAATTATCACAACATGTACTCAAATGTAGTAAGTTAATTACTAAAATTATTGTGTCTGGTGCAAACTTAAGGGATGTTAATCAGTATCTTCAAGAATTCCAGCAATGCAAGTTTTATTCTCCTAAGTCAAGTCAGTGACATTTTATAAGCAGAAAAAATTAAACCCCCTGCCTTTCATAATCCTTGAGTATGCATTAAGTTCCTCTCCTGGCTGTCAACACCCTACCTTCCCTCCTCCTCTCAGCCAGCAGTGGAAGAGCAGAAGGGTTGATAATATTAATGGGATGAATTTTGTTTTAGGCCTAAAGTTTTCTCTTATAAAATCTCACAAACTTGACTTAAAGATAATATAACTTGCATTGCTGGAGTCCATGCAAGATAACAATTAATTTGAGTATCCACACCTCATAATTTGCACAAGAGATAAAATTTTTAGTCATTTAGCATAGTATATTTAGTACAAAATGAATACAGTAATATGCTGCTCCAAATTATGGCTTTATCACAGGGAAAACTGGTCAGGATATTATGGTATCGAAATGTTACGGAGTATTTCAAATAAATTCTTCTACCAGGACCCTTCAAATACAGTAAAATACTTATTTTTACCTTCTTATTTAGCTTGTCATTTAAGGATATGATATTGGAAACGTCTCATAGAGGATCATTATGGTATCAAATTCATCTCTTTAACACAAATACAGTAAAAATTATAATGTTTGTTGTGAACTAAGCAGGAAGAGGGAGAGGGGTCCATTAGGGGGTAAAAGTGACTGCGCCACACCCCTCCCCCAAAGGGTCACCTCACTGTTTGTCTACTGTACTGACTTATTCATGATACAATATTGTTTATTTGTTTTCATTAATTAGTAAAGATATGTTATTGTAATAATCTGTGCTTATTAATACCTGTACCCTTCATATACAATACCCTGTACAGTATAGTACTATGCATATACCTCATTGGTAAAAAATGTCATTCAAGACATCTTCAGGTCATAAGACCCACTAATCCACCCACCCAACAATGGATGACCTGACATTGCATCAGGTCAGATTAGTAACATGACCCAATAATCTCCCACCCAACCTTCATTACGTATAAGTGTTAAGACATGATTAGTTATGTATTACAGTCAATTGAGTGAAGTGTTTGCCTATTCTAGGCTAAAGATGACAGGATCTGCTTTAGAACAATATATACAGTACACAAGAACACTTGCCAACAGTGCGTAATAGAGACGTGACCGATTGCCCGAGCGAAGAGGATAAAAGTAACACAGCTCCATTCACGCCCGTATCATATAAGGAGTGAAGGTCTTATTGTATGACACATCTGCATGGTAGCGAGTTAAATATCAGCTGTTGAGAAACGCTTGGCAACACTCATTTTCACCCCAGCTCTCTAATTACCCACACCTTTCTGCTTTCTCACTCCATATTTTAAAATGTTATATAAAGTAATGTTGAAAGGATACAACTTTGCTCATTTATACTTATATCTGTACTTACCACAATCTCTCTAAAAATACTTTAGGTTTCGTGTTTATTCAAGACATCTTCAGGTCATGAGACCCACTAATCTCCTACCCAAGAAAGGGTAAGCTGACATTCCATCAGGTCAGTTACACGAGACCTACTACTCCCCCACAGCTCCAGGGGGGTGGAAAATAACAGTCTTTGCTGTAACACACAGCTTATTTCATGCCCATATCCTATAGATTTTTAATTTTTAAATTCTGTATATTTATTTAACCAAACCTTTAGATAAACTATTCTGGATTATTATAGTAAAGAAATTAAATTTCTAACTTAATTAGAACTCTATTTATGAATTCCATTACACCTGTAATTTAGACTCGAGGAAAACATCTTCAGCACCCAGAAACGTTCTGGGGAAGTGGGCTAGTGTGCATCTATGCAAGAGGTCGAGTTTAGACACTCGGAAGCTTTTCCCAGTAACCGGAAAAGGTTCCAGGGATAAGGAATTTTTCCGGGCTTGAGAACGTCTTCTTGTTACCCGGGAAAACTCTCATCCCGGAAGTGCTCTGCGTCAATTATTCCGGCTAACGGGGATATCGCTGTAATTACACTTATATTGTGTACATAATATTTCATGGTTGCCTTTCTTACTGCAGAAAGCATTCTTAGTAAAAAAAAAAATATTTTAGGCTTTCGCCAAGCAGTTCAGAATGAGTCCTGATGACCTAGACATGCACGTAATCTACGATGTCTCTCACAATATTGCCAAGATAGAACAACACTGGATAGATGGGAAACTGCGTACATTATTGGTTCATAGAAAGGTGAGGATTAAATCATTTAACCTTACTGTATGGTGTTATCATCATCCTAGAACAGTGGTTCCCAACCTTTTTTGGCTGCAACCCTAAATTTCCCAACAATACGGTATCTTGACCCTCAGGCATATAATATATTATATAACTTGAATGTTAGGCAAAAATTTGTTTGACTATGATAAGTATATACAGTATTTTTTAAATTGTCTGAAGGCCCCTCGTGACCCTACTGAGGACACCCCGTGACCTGAGGTTGGGAACCGCTGTCCTAGGACAATTGTAAACATTTTCTTTTTGTACATGCTTAGCTATACTGTATATGTATTATTAATTTCTCAGATCATATTTTTGTTCACTGCAAAGGTTTAACTACAGATGATGTGGACTATGATATTGATATACTGTACAGTATTTATAACCACACTGCATATTGGGATCTCGCAACTCTGTTTAGACAACAAAGCAAGGGATTTTAATCCTCAAGCCTTAGGGCCACAGCTTGTATGACTAGGATTAATAATTGAAAAAATGAAAATATAATTATCTCCCACCTTATACTAGATACCCTTAGGAAAATTCTTGGTTGGCATAAAAGTATATTTCAGTAGGAGGAGGGTGAAGAGTTTTTGTTGCTGAGCATGAAGATGTACACTTGATCTTTTATTTTCATCATTGGCCAAAAGATGTCACCACATAACAAGAGTGTATGAAGAATTTCCTAGAGGGATGATTAGAGACAACATGATATAAATTAAAAAAGTGATTGGAGATGAAAACCTCACTGACAGTTTAACTAATAGTTATATTTTTACTTACTATCTCCCTTTTCAAACTGGCTTTAATTTACCAATCTTTTTAATTCCCCTTTGTGGTCATAAATGGTGGATTGATCCTGAGGTCCCATTTTATAACAGGATTTGGAATGAACAATTAAACATCCCTCTCTCCTCCCTTTTGGCTGCTGAGGTGAGTTGGATCTTAAGTGATGGTCTTTGTGACTTTTTTGGTTATTGTAAATAAATGTGAATCAAAGTATATCTGTTGATGCTCAGCAGCAGAAACTCTATAGCCGTCTCCCTTTATGCCAAAGTTATCTTTTGTGGGGACTGGTATGAAGGTTCAAAGTACGTAATAATTTTTGTTTTTAAATTTGCTAGATTTTAGACCCGTCACATATATTGGAATCCAGGGTATTCAAACCCAAGGACAACTGGCTACACAGACAGAGTTGCTTGATTCAAATTAGTTATAAATTAGGATTTTTGGAATAATCCCTATTTATTTCACTGGTTGAAAAACTTTACTATATTACATTAATTTCCCCATGTATTGTCATCTTTTTACCCGTGATATAGTCAAGACTAAAACCAAGACCAAGAACTAGACCATTCGCAATATTAGCCGTGATGAATCGCCTGAAGATTAGTACCCCCAGATAATTTCAGGGTGGTTAAACTGGGGATGACTTCAGGTAAGCATTTAGGGGGGCTAATCTTCAAATGATCCATCAAGGCTACTTTAGCAAATGGTCTATTTCATGGTCTTGGTTTCAACCACATCACTGATATTCACCTGAAACATTCACTTGAAAATCTAACAAGCAATTTGAGGAAACCATGAAACCTAAGTAAAGTTATACATTATTTAGAATTTGGTTATCATGGACATCAAACTGTGTTGGTTTTTGCTTTTGAAGATTTGTTTTGGAAATATTGCACTTTAAAGTAAATAAAATAGTGATGATATCATTTTGGCTTGTATTTATTTCTTTTACTACAACAGGGTTCAACTCGAGCCTTCCCACCACACCACCCCTTGATCCCTGTTGATTATCAACTGACAGGACAGCCTGTCCTAATTGGTGGAACCATGGGTACATGCTCTTATGTATTAACTGGAACTGAGCAGGGAATGATGGAGACCTTTGGATCAACATGCCATGGTGCCGTAAGTACTCTAATGTTTGCCTTTCTGTAATTGACATGTATATTTGAAGGAAAGGTGTTGTTTTCACAAAGTTTAATGAATATAGGTACGTATTTGGGTTGAAAATATCTTGTCCTTGTTTTTCAGAAAAGCTACAGTATAATAAAGGTTACATAATATCACTGTAACATGTGACTTGGCTCATAATTTGGACAAGTATAGAGAGTGCAGTTTATTGTTTAAGGTGTAAATACAGGAAATTAATGAAAAAAGGATGGCAAAATTAAACTTCTGGTATTTAAATGATTTGTTCCACAGTGAATTGCAAGTGGCCTGTGGTAATACTCATGCCCATTCATCATCTTATGCACAGATCATTGTCTTTCACACTTTTGATGGTTCAGTAGTGCATTTGATATTTTATCAGGGGAGCCACGAATTACCCAAAAGTACCCAAAAGTATAGCAAATAAGGGTAAAATCTTAACGAATATCTGTTATACATACACAAAACATGTTTAATAATATTTTTAGTGTAATTTTGTAAAACTGATTTGCAAGATGAAATAATAAACTGCGAAAAACTTGCAGTATTGGCGAACGCTAAATTCCAAAGAGTTCGTGAACAAGGGAGATAACTCAGATCCATTGTGATGCACTTCGCTAACCTAACCTAACGAAAAGTAAATCCTACAGCTATGTTAAATACCCCAAAGTAACAGAAACATCGGTAATTATATCTCCATTTTGGATAGGTGACTCTTTGGAATTTAGCGTTTTTTGCTGTTTATTATTTCATTATTTTGACTACATTTCAATGAAACATTATTAATCAGGTTTTATTGATGTAAAACATATATTCGTTAAGATTTTACCCTGATTTAATATACTTTTGGGTACATTTGGGTAATTCGTTGGACCGTTTTATCAGTGTTTTCCACATGACATGGCTCACTGACCTTTGAACCAACCCTTGAACCAAGCTAGGAGCTTGCTTCTAATATGTTAGTTCAGATAGGTGACCAACAAGACAGCAAACTTGTCTCAAGAATGAAAATGATTCTTTGGACAAGGGTAAGCTCTGTCAGGGGTATTCTAAATGGCTATTTGTTTCTTTGCCATGGCTATGAAATAGGATGTTATTACTTGTGTTTTGTACGATTTATGCAATTGCATTTTTCCTAACTAGTCAAATGTAATTCTTTCTTGACACATGCATTATTTTTAGGAACTCAAAATTAAGAAGTGTTGTAGTTTTGTCTTCCATGCTGAGGGCTACATTTAGTTTTGAAAGTATGGTGCATTATAATTAGCAACTTCCAATAATGATCTTACTCCTACCTTTTCAGGGCCGTGCTCTCTCCCGTGCCAAGTCTCGCAGAAATCTAGATTACAGTGATGTCCTCATTAAGCTCCAAGAACAGGGTATCAGCATTAGAGTGGCATCTCCAAAATTAGTAATGGAAGAAGCTCCAGAGTCTTACAAGAATGTTACTGATGTTGTTGATACTTGTCATGCAGCTGGAATCAGCAAGAAATGCATTAAACTTCGACCAATAGCAGTCATCAAGGGATGAATGTATTGTTGTTAGTATTCAAATTGAAACCTATTGGATAATTATATTCTGTACTAAATTCAGTAATAAACATCAACATTATTAAA